TACATGAGACATCCGAATTCAAAATAGAAAATTAGGATAAGGGCTTTATCTCATTTTATGTCTACTATAACACGGCTCATCAAAGTATAGCAAATGTAGATTTAAATTACTTAACACGATAAATCAGTTAATTCGTTTTTATGATATGTATGTAAAATACATATATTTTGCTTCGGGAATGACAAGCATGCGGTTATAGGAGCGAAGAATACATCCAAAAAATATCAGTTTAAATTTTAGTTACAAAGGTAATCATACATAACGAATGAATGAATCTTAAAATTTAGAGGCATAAGGAGCCAGTGCATAGGCCGCTTAAGCGGGCCCTTATGCACCTCTACAATACTTAAATCACAAGCCTCGCCCTTTTAGCGAAGTTGAGAATCGCCTTGAGTTCAAGCTCCTTGACGTCCTGAGGGTCCAAAGTAATGGACCCCAGTATAGTCTGCCTATAGTAGCTCAGAGCTTCACAGCGACACAAAACGTGCGCCGAGGTCTCTTCCTCTACTCCGCAGCGTTCGCACAAGGGATCCTCAGCCACCCCCATCACGTGCAGGTGACGCCTTAACGTGTTATGGCCAGACAACAGTCCCGCCAGCAACCTTAGGTTGGCTCTACCCAGAGATAGGCAGAAGCGTCCATTGTTAGCACTGGGCCCTTCAATGAGCTCTCGTGCCTGGCGGAGATGTCTAAGAGATACTTCTCCATTTCTGAGTGTGTTGTCTTGCAACCCACGTCTCCATTTTCCTCCTAGCTTTATGCGCGGTTACTCCTAGAGCTGGCTCAGGACCAACGAGCTTGCTGGCTGATCCTGTTTTCGCCAGAGTGTCCGCCGTCTCATTGCCCCTTATCCCAGCGTGCCCCGGTTCCCATATTAACGATACCGGATGCCTCGCTGCGAGGCAATCCAGAGCCTCCCTGCATTGTAATTCAAGACTCGAAGTAATCTTACAGGCGCTTAGTGCTTTCATTGCAGCCTGGCTGTCGGATAAGATTGTTATTCTTCTTCTAGGCACACCCTCCTCCAGAATGTGAGATACACAAGCCAGAATCGCAAAGATTTCCGCCTGGAAAATGGTGGTGTATCCACCGATAGCCTAGTTCTAGGCCCAGAGACCCCAGCACCTGAGCCCTCTTCGGTGACCGAGCCGTCCGTGTACCAGACCTGCCCGCTCACTTCGGAGAGTCCTCGGCTACCGGCGTCCCACTCCTCCCTCGTTGGATACTCCACAATAAACTTGCGGTTGAAGCGATATTTAGAGGTAATACGATCACCCCTGCTTAGAAGGACGGGGTCCTCCCTTTCTAATTCGACTAAGATGGCAGTATGCCCCTTGACCGGATTCAAGAAAGCCCAGCTGCCCTGACTCCACAGTCGATGAGCGACATAACTGAATATATAATGTTGAATAAATAAAACCACTAATACCAGAACAGAAGGTTTGGGATCTACCATAGTAAAGATTCAGAAAAAATAGTGACATTCGTCAGCTTTAATTTAAAATTACTTCATTTTTCAAGCAACAACGGTTTTACAATGAGATGAAGGAAATTCTGTTTATAAACGTAAATTTTATCACAAAAGTATGACAATGTTCCCACTTAACAAAATAACTGTCATTAAAATTCTAATATTCGTTGAGTCATGACACCAGCTTTTCAACCGGTAAGTAACAGTTTATTCCATAATTCATCATTTTCCAATCGCTTTCCACTGAAAAATTTCTTAACGTTTGGGAAAGTTAGAAATCTGTTGGTGCTAGATCAGGGTTGTATGGCGCATTTTCGGGTCAATGGATTAGTTCAGAATGCCGTATTATCTTAAGAGAAATAACTAAAACTTGGCACCACTGCACGGAGGACTTATCCACTGGTGTTTAGATAATTTGAGTATTTTGGAGGACCTAATGCCGCTTTGTTATCTGGAGGGCATCATACGGTTTTTGAAAGGGAGACCTATATAGCGGACTTTGTATGGAAATCCGAAATGTTAATGTACAGTTTTGGATCAATGTGTCTTGGTGTCGGATATTCACGAATTAAATTTGATATATATTTAGTATTTCTGGTAGGTGACTTATTGCTGGTTTATGCAAGGAGGACCTATCCACGTGGAGATGTATATATATATACAGGGTGACTTTGAAGTTGAGTCATTAATTTTCAGATAATGATTGTAGAAGGAAGATAAACCAAAATATGTGTAAAAATAAAAAAAAATTAAAAAAAATGTTTACCTTGTTTTATAAAGTATCATCCCGACAAGTATTTCAGTGCGGACCTGTATTTGATCGTGAGGTCTTGGAGCACCGGCATGCCGTCCCCTGTGAGGTCTTAAGTCACCTGATTCACGAGCCCGTTGTACTACATTAACAAAGGCACGAGGGGTTGGTTGCACTCGATTGGGAAACCGCTCCGCATAAACATGTGCCATTTTTTATTTCGTTTGAGCCACGCAACAGACACCACTATTCACTCACGCGTTACCGACTGACACTGACTGTATACAACTGAATAAAATAACAATTGTAAAAACATCGTTCCAAATTCTTTCGCTTTTTGTTTCCGATGCGATGAACCGATAAGGCGGATTATATCCGTTGTTGCCAAACACGAGCACATAATATTATTATTGAGACAGGGCGGTACTCAAACTTCCAAAGGGCTATAACTTTGTTACTTTAATTTTACCAGAAAAATGGTAAGATCTACTCACTGTATACAGGGTGACTTCGAAGTTGAGTCATTTATTTTAACAGTGAGTAGATCTGATCAAAAGAAATATTTCTTTCCGGATCGGTTTCCCAATCGAGTGCAACCAACCCCTCGTGCCTTTGTTAATGTAGTACAACGGGCTCGTGAATCAGGTGGCTTAAGACCTCACAGGGGACGGCATGCCGCTGCTCCAAGACCTCACGATCAAATACAGGTCCGCACTGAAATACTTGTCGGGAGGATACTTTATAAAACAAGGTAAAATTTTTTTTTTATTTTACACACATATTTTGGTTTATCTTCCTTCTACAATCATTATACGAAAATTAATGACTCAACTTCAAAGTCACCCTGTATATACCAAATAGAAAACATAATGGGAAGAATCCGTAAAAAGGAGAGTGGTTCGAGTAGGAAATAAGATAAGATAATATAGGTCTGAGCAATACGTATTTCTGTTTGTTGGCTTCATCACACGAAGTCACAACAAGAGCTAACCTACACATTGTAGTATAATGACCAGAAAGTCTCGAGCTCCCAAGGCGATATGTAACCATTCGAATTCTATACTAAAGTTAATACTAACAAAAAATCAGCACATTCCAAATATCTTTTGATCTTCTCTATAAGAGGAGTTACTATCATCTGACCCTTTTTTGTACCATGAAGTTTGTTTTTCTTTCTACCACACTAGAATCACTTGTACTTTTCACATCTTGCTAATATAGTTTTTGTACCTTGTATAATATGAAGTAGTACTAGTGTATCGTGTATGAAATATATATTTTGTGAAATGAGAAAGGCTTTCGCGGCCATCATCCAATGTTATTTGGTTGGTTTTTGGGTAGTTAGGCCGTCGTAATACATTTTTATTTGGGTGACAGGGTGACTTCGAAGTTGTCATTTATTTTAACAGTGAGTAGATCTGATCAAAAGAAATGTTTTTTTCCTTTACCATTTTTCTGGTAAAATTAAAGTAACAAAGTTGTAGCCCTTTGGAAGTTTGAGTACCGCCCTGTCTCAATAATAATATTATGTGCTCTCTCGAGAAGTCTTTTGGAAAGACCCGACATACTTTAACATTCCATTCAAGTATATCCGACGGCGAAATTCTTCTCCATCTCAAAGATTATATTAATACCACACAAAACCGTTGCCTCTATTTCCACAGTGATCCTATAAAAGAAAAAACTCTTAGAGTATTAAAAAATAAATTTAGCCCTCAAACTAAAGTTATAATATCAAACTTGTTTCTTACCGATTTATTCACAGATCATGAGAAATTAACTGAAATTAAATTCTGGCATGAAACAAAAACCACTCATCGTGGAATTAATGAAGCAATTAAACGAGTTTCATCAAAATTCTATTGGCCTAATATGTCTAATGACATTAACCGTTATATTAACCTTTGCGATGTTTGCCAACGTGCAAAATACGACCGTAATCCACAACACATCAAATTACAACATACTCCTACACCAAATAAACCTTTAGATGTCCTACATATTGACTTATTCCACATTCAGTCAGAAATATACTTTACTATTTTTGACCCATTTTCTAAATATGGTCAAGCACTGAAGATTCCATCTAAGAATGCTATCGATTTTGTTCAAGCTCTAATTCAATTCACTTCCTATCTAGGAACGCCTTCTCAGATAATTGCTGATGCTGGAAAAGAATTCAATAATATCCTCCTAAAAGAGTATTGCCAATTATATGGTATAAAACTCCACATTACTTCTATTAGAAATTCTAACAGTAATAGTCCAGCAGAACGTCTCCATTCTACTTTTCTTGATTCTCTTAGAACCTTAAAAATTGATCACCCAAAAAAACCATTAAGTTACTTGATGACATTAGCTGTCTCATGTTACAATAATTCAATACATTCAGTAACAAAACTAACCCCTTTTAATATCATATTTGCTCAACTTGACAAGAACATTTCTCCCACATTACATGAAACAAGGATAACCCAAGATTTTATCGATTCAACTAAAAACATGGCGAAACAATTATATCAAATTGTACAAAATCGTGTTGAATCACGAAAGGAAGAAGAGCTTTCTAAAGTAAATAAGAAACTAGATGATCCTCAACCAACATCTTCAACAGAGTATCTTAATACGAGAACTCCCCGATGTCCTAAAGTTAAACCAATATTTAAACGCGTTTCAATAAGAAAAGATAATGGTCCAACAGTTGATACATCTGCTGGAAATTTCCATAAACATAAAATAAAAAAGAAAAGACAACTAAAACCATCCTCATTGTTACAGGATGAAGACGACGATTCCGATACTCCTCTTTCTATTATCCAGAAGCGACTCACTTCAGATAAATCAAATCAACAGCCCTCTTCTTCCCATTCTGCTAGGACCAGTTAAAATAGTAACTCACCACCATTCCTTCGTATACGTTATTAATCTTCAAAAAATCGAACAGCAACTCAATAAGCTATATTCAAATTTGATAACAATTAAAGATAAGGCTAGGAATCACGATGTATACGCTAAATGGTTGCAGGCAGAATTTATATTAAAGAAAACGTATGATAAATTTCATACCACCTTAATAATAAAAGATCTAAACGAGGTTTAATTAACCCTATTGGTTCACTTTATAACTCTCTGTTTGGACTAATGGACGACAATGACAGACAAAAAATTAAGACAAATTTAAATGTTTTATATAGAAATCAACATTCTATTGTTTCCCAAATTGAAACCAAAACAACAATATTAAAGAATCTTGTAAATAATCTTGAAGATACCATTAAGGTCATAAATGCTAATAATAACCGTACTATCACTGAACTTAGTGATATATTAGTACAGGAGTATGTTCAAGATATTATTAATAATGTAAATTTTCTTCAAACTTATCTGTCTAATATCGAAAATGCTTTATTATTTGTTCATTTAAACTTGGTACATTCAAATATTATAACAACGAACGATATCAAAGAAATATTCGCAAAACTCAAACTATTATATAAGATGAGTCAAATTCCTAAAGGGTTGTCCAATAGGGACGCAGGAAAGTAAACGTCAATTTGACATAGACGACATCTTTGTTTTCTGTCACCGACATGTCATTTTGTTAGTTGAATGTTTACCATTGATCGCTATGAAACTTTGAATGGGACGGTAAACAAGCAAAACTGCCGCATCTGGGCGAACGAAAATCCCCGTGAGTATCAAGAGCAGCCGATGCATCCTCAAAAAGTGACTGTGTGGTGTGCATTATGGTCAAAAGGCATCATCGGACCTTACTTTTTCGAAAATGCGGCCGGGGACGCCGTTACCGTCAATTCTGAGCGATATCACGTGATGATAGAGGACTATTCTTTGCCGCAACTTGAAGGAATGGATATGGACGATGTTTATTTCCAACAAGACGGTGCAACATGCCACACAACCAACTTCAATATCTATCGATTGCAGTCCTTCTTCGGTGATCGCGTGATTTCGCGCAGAGGAAATGTGCCATGGCCACCAAGATCGCGCGATTTGACTCCCTTGGACTTCTTTTTATGGGGATATTTGAAAAGCAAAGTCTACGTCAACAAACCAGCCACCCTCCAAGAACTCAAAAACAACATCATTGCCGAGATAAATGCCATAGAACCGACCATGTTGCAAAATGTCATTGAAAATTTCGACCATCGCGTGGAAGTCTGTAAATCCAGTCGTGGTGAACATTTGAGCGATATTATTTTTCATACATAAATGATATAAATGAACCTTCAAAATAAAGTACCCAACTTGATTTGAATATCGATCTTTCTTGTTTTAATATGCGTTTACTTTTCTGCGTCCGTTTTGGACAACCCCATATATTTCACATTCATTATTATTTAAGTCTCTTTAAAATTCAAACTTTTATTGAAAACATAACTTACACATTGAAATATTAGTACCAATATTAAAAGGTAAAGCTTATTCCTTGTTCAGAGTAATCCCCTTACCTTATGAAAACCTTACCATTCTACCCCCTTTACCCTACCTTATACTCGGTGAAGACGGACACACATGGATCAATAATGAATTACCACGCCTGGAACACACCTACCTGTCAAACGATATATTGGACACCAGCAACCATTGTATCATCGACATCAGCCGTCGACGACCCAATGTAACTTGTCACGCCGTACCAGCACACCAGACCGAAACTACTGTTCAGACCCTGCCCAATGGTCAGATTCTGATAATTGCTACAATAAGAAAAGATCATGGTCCAACAGTTGATACATCTGCTGGAAATTTCCATAAACATAAAATAAAAAAGAAAAGACAACTAGAACCATCCTCATTGTTACAGGATGAAGACGACGATTCCGATACTCCTCTTTCTATTATCCAGAAGCGACTCACTTCAGATAAATCAAATCAACAGCCCTCTTCTTCCCATTCTGCTAGGACCAGTTAAAATAGTAACTCACCACCATTCCTTCGTACACGTTATTAATCTTCAAAAAATCGAACAGCAACTCAATAAGCTATATTCAAATTTGATAACAATTAAAGATAAGGCTAGGAATCACGATGTATACGCTAAATGGTTGCAGGCAGAATTTATATTAAAGAAAACGTATGATAAATTTCATACCACCTTAATAATAAAAGATCTAAACGAGGTTTAATTAACCCTATTGGTTCACTTTATAACTCTCTGTTTGGACTAATGGACGACAATGACAGACAAAAAATTAAGACAAATTTAAATGTTTTATATAGAAATCAACATTCTATTGTTTCCCAAATTGAAACCAAAACAACAATATTAAAGAATCTTGTAAATAATCTTGAAGATACCATTAAGGTCATAAATGCTAATAATAACCGTACTATCACTGAACTTAGTGATATATTAGTACAGGAGTATGTTCAAGATATTATTAATAATGTAAATTTTCTTCAAACTTATCTGTCTAATATCGAAAATGCTTTATTATTTGTTCATTTAAACTTGGTACATTCAAATATTATAACAACGAACGATATCAAAGAAATATTCGCAAAACTCAAACTATTATATAAGATGAGTCAAATTCCTAAAGGGTTGTCCAATAGGGACGCAGGAAAGTAAACGTCAATTTGACATAGACGACATCTTTGTTTTCTGTCACCGACATGTCATTTTGTTAGTTGAATGTTTACCATTGATCGCTATGAAACTTTGAATGGGACGGTAAACAAGCAAAACTGCCGCATCTGGGCGAACGAAAATCCCCGTGAGTATCAAGAGCAGCCGATGCATCCTCAAAAAGTGACTGTGTGGTGTGCATTATGGTCAAAAGGCATCATCGGACCTTACTTTTTCGAAAATGCGGCCGGGGACGCCGTTACCGTCAATTCTGAGCGATATCACGTGATGATAGAGGACTATTTTTTGCCGCAACTTGAAGGAATGGATATGGACGATGTTTATTTCCAACAAGACGGTGCAACATGCCACACAACCAACTTCAATATCTATCGATTGCAGTCCTTCTTCGGTGATCGCGTGATTTCGCGCAGAGGAAATGTGCCATGGCCACCAAGATCGCGCGATTTGACTCCCTTGGACTTCTTTTTATGGGGATATTTGAAAAGCAAAGTCTACGTCAACAAACCAGCCACCCTCCAAGAACTCAAAAACAACATCATTGCCGAGATAAATGCCATAGAACCGACCATGTTGCAAAATGTCATTGAAAATTTCGACCATCGCGTGGACGTCTGTAAATCCAGTCGTGGTGAACATTTGAGCGATATTATTTTTCATACATAAATGGTATAAATGAACCTTCAAAATAAAGTACCCAACTTGATTTGAATATCGATCTTTCTTGTTTTAATATGCGTTTACTTTTCTGCGTCCGTTTTGGACAACCCCATATATTTCACATTCATTATTATTTAAGTCTCTTTAAAATTCAAACTTTTATTGAAAACATAACTTACACATTGAAATATTAGTACCAATATTAAAAGGTAAAGCTTATTCCTTGTTCAGAGTAATCCCCTTACCTTATGAAAACCTTACCATTCTACCCCCTTTACCCTACCTTATACTCGGTGAAGACGGACACACATGGATCAATAATGAATTACCACGCCTGGAACACACCTACCTGTCAAACGATATATTGGACACCAGCAACCATTGTATCATCGACATCAGCCGTCGACGACCCAATGTAACTTGTCACGCCGTACCAGCACACCAGACCGAAACTACTGTTCAGACCCTGCCCAATGGTCAGATTCTGATAATTGCTACAATGCCAGTGGAGGTGAGAGAAAAATGCTCGAACCTCGAAGTTAAGGTGTTACATGACATATCCATCATAACACCTAAGCCCAATTGCATGCTTTGGATCAACGAGGAACAATTTTACATGACTCCAGTGGTTCTACCCGACTCCGTCACTTACCTTCTACCAGAGCCACTAATGGAATCAAGCCGTTCTTCAGTATACCTGGACAACGTTCCGACAACCAAGTTAGAAGAACTTCACCAGCAGCTACGCAACATCAAGCACATCGCTCTACAAGCACCAGACCTGGATCCAATGAGCCATTCCTGGATCACACTGTATATTGTTCTCATCATGATTTTAATCTTTATGTTACTAGGTCTCCGATATCTCTACGCACGCAGCAAAGGAAATCAGGTCAAGATCGAACTTTCAACCCACAAGGACCCGATTCCGCCTATGCCTTCATCTAGGACGGGAGGAGTTATATGAACCAACTACATAACTGCTCTTTTATTTTTTATGTATCATCTGCTTTCATAATGTAACTTAACGTTATATAAATCAGGTTATCTATTGCACTAAAGAAAATTCTGAGCTTAGCATATTTTTTTATTATAAATACGCTGTATGCATTTGATGATTCACTCGATATTCATATGTCATGAATGTTAGTCAATAAAGAGGGTTGGAAGCAGACTTCGTGTATTCCTGCGGAACCAAAAGGACTCCCACAAACGACACTATATATATATATATATATATATATATATATATATATAACAACAAGTAGGAAAATAATGGGCAAAATCCGCAAAAAGGAGGAAAGTGGATTCGAGCAGAAAATAGGATAGGTAACCCGAGCGATACGTATTTCTGCTGGTTGGCTTCATCAGGCCCGAAATGAATGCACATATGCAACTACAAAAGTAGATACACATGCCCACACATCCGGATACGTGTGTAACCTGAGGAAACGAAGATGGAGAGGAAAAAAAGACACACGAAGTCCACAACAAGAGCCGACCTACACATTGTAGTATAAAATGGCTATAAGACCTCGAATTTTCAAGGAGACGTCTAACCACCACCACGCGGCCGGTTATAGCCACTTGCTGTGGTACTTCAAGCCCAAAGGATCTACAAAGAGAATATGATCATGCGGAGAAAAGTATATAACAACAAGTAGGAAAATAATAGGCAAAATCCGCAAAAAGGAGGAAAGTGGATTCGAGCAGAAAATAGGATAGGTAACCCGAGTGATACGTATTTCTGCTGGTTGGCTTCATCAGGCCCGAAATGAATGCACGTATGAAACTACAAAAGTAGATACACATGCCCACACATCCGGATACGTGTGTAACCTGAGGAAACGAAGTTGGAGGGGAAAAAAAACGACACACGAAGTCCACAACAAGAGCCAACGTACACATTGTAGTATAAAATGGCTATACGACCTCGAATTTTCAAGGAGACGTCTAACCACCACGCGGCCGGTTATAGCCACTTGCTGTGGTACTTCAAGCCCAAAGGATCTACAAAGAGAATATGATCATGCGGAGAAAAGTATATAACAAGTAGGAAAATAATGGGCAAAATCCTCAAAAAGGCGGAAAGTGAATTCGAGCAGAAAATAGGATAGGTAACCCGAGCGATACGTATTTCTGCAGGTTGGCTTCATCAGGCCCGAAATGAATGCACATATGAAACTACAAAAGTAGATACACATGCCCACACATCCGGATACGGGTGTAACCTGAGGAAACGAAATTGGAGGGGAAAAAAACGACACACGAAACCACAACAAGAGCCAACCTACACATTGTAGTATAAAATGGCTATACGACCTCGAATTTTCAAGGAGACGTGTGGGCATGTGTATCTACTTTTGTACAGGGTGGGGCAAAAGTCACGAAGGGATTTGAAAAATTAATAACTTTTTTAAATTTATTTTGTTTTCATTTTTTTTTTTCAGGACCGTGTAAAATAAATCCTGGAGATTAATTATGGAGCGTTACAACCTCAATCAACGAACCAAACTTATAGAATTTTATTTTGAATATCACCATTCAATAATTCAAACTCAACGAGCATATCGTCGTCATTTCAATTTGCGGAATTCGCCCTCTGAATCAATGATTCGACGCTTAGTGGCACGATTTCAGCAACAAGGCACAGTTATGGATCTCCCACGAAGCGGAAGGCCACGTTCCGCAAGAAATGAAGGGAACATTCAACGCGTTCAGGAGAGTGTTCAGGAGAATCCGGAAACCTCAACCCGAAGACGTTCTGCTGAGCTGCAGATGTCTCAAAGGTCTTTACGCAGAATATTAAGAGGAAATTTACATCTGTTTCCATATAAAGTGCAGCTAGTGCAAGAACTAAAACCAGCAGATTTTCAAGAACGACTAACTTATGCAGTTCGCTTGCAAAGAATGGCTCGAGAAGATAATGAATTTATTCATTCTCTGATCATGAGCGATGAAGCCCATTTTCATTTGAATGGCTTCGTAAATAAGCAGAACTGCAGAATATGGGGTACCGAGAACCCAAGGGTGGTTCATCAAAGGCAATTACATCCGCTTAAATGTACAGTATGGTGCGCAGTTACGTCTCAACGAATTATTGGACCATTCTTCTTCGAAGACCACGATGGGAATGCTGTATCTGTAGATGGCGACCGATATCGTGATATGATTCAAAATTTCTTAAGACCAGCTCTTGCTGACAATCAAACGATGACTTTCCAACAAGATGGAGCCACTGCGCATACTGCTCGAGCCACTATGCACCTTCTAAGGCAGATTTTTGGCGAACGTTTAATTTCGAGAAATTCAGGATTCAATTGGCCCGCCCGCTCGCCGGACTTAACAGCCCCTGATTATTTCCTTTGGGGATATCTGAAAGGAAAAGTGTATATTAATAAACCCACAACCCTGCAGCAACTAAAAGATAATATTCGAGCAGAAGTAAGTGCTTTGGGGCCAGATATTCTGACTCGGGTAATGGAAAATGCTCTTGCAAGAGCTGCACTTTGCGAGGCTGAAAATGGCGGTCATTTGCGTGATGTAATCTTTCACACTTAAATTGTAAACAAACTCCAAACATTGCATTTTAGTTTTGTGTTAGGGAAAAAAATTAAAATTAAAATTTAAAAAAGTTATTAATTTTTCAAATCCCTTCGCGACTTTTGCCCCACCCGCTAGTTTCATTCATTTCGGGCCTGATGAAGCCAACCAGCAGAAATACGTATCGCTCGGGTTACCTATCCTATTTTCTGCTCGAATTCACTTTCCTCCTTTTTGCGGATTTTGCCCATTATTTTCCTACTTGTTGTTATATACTTTTCTCCGCATGATCATATTCTATTTGTAGATCCTTTGGGCTTGAAGTACCACAGCAAGTGGCTATAACCGGCCGCGTGGTGGTGGTTAGACGTCTCCTTGAAAATTCGAGGTCGTATAGCCATTTTATACTACAATGTGTAGGTTGGCTCTTGTTGTGGACTTCGTGTGTCGTTTTTTTTTTTCCTCCAACTTCGTTTCCTCAGGTTACACCCGTATCCGGATGTGTGGGCATGTGTATCTACTTTTGTAGTTTCATATGTGCATTCATTTCGGGCCTGATGAAGCCAACCAGCAGAAATACGTATAGCTCGCGTTACCTATCCTATTTTCTGCTCGAATCCACTTTCCTCCTTTTTGCGGATTTTGCCCATTATTTTCCTACTTGTTGTTATATACTTTTCTCCGCATGATCATATTCTCTTTGTAGATCCTTTGGGCTTGAAGTACCACAGCAAGTGGCTATAACCGGACGCGTGGTGGTGGTTAGACGTCTCCTTGAAAATTCGAGGTCGTATAGCCATTTTATACTACAATGTGTAGGTTGGCTCTTGTTGTGGACTTCGTGTGTCGTTTTTTTTTCCCTCCAACTTCGTTTCCTCAGGTTACACCCGTATCCGGATGTGTGGGCATGTGTATCTACTTTTGTAGTTTCATATGTGCATTCGTTTCGGGCCTGATGAAATCAACCAGCAGAAATACGTATCGCTCGGGTTACCTATCCTATTTTCTGCTCGAATGCACTTTCCTCCTTTTTGCGGATTTTGCCCATTATTTTCCTACTTGTTGTTATATACTTTTCTCCGCATGATCATATTCTCTTTGTAGATCCTTTGGGCTTGAAGTACCACAGCAAGTGGCTATAACCGGCCGCGTGGTGGTTGTTAGACGTCTCCTTGAAAATTCGAGGTCGCATAGCCATTTTATACTACAATGTGTAGGTTGGCTCTTGTTGTGGACTTCGTGTGTCTTTTTTTTCCTCCAACTTCGTTTCCTCAGGTTACACCCGTATCCGGATGTGTGGGCATGTGTATCTACTTTTGTAGTTTCATATGTGCATTCATTTCGGGCCTGATGAAGCCAACCAGCAGAAATACGTATCGCTCGGGTTACCTATCCTATTTTCTGCTCGAATCCACTTTCCTCCTTTTTGCGGATTTTGCCCATTATTTTCCTACTTGTTGTTATATACTTTTCTCCGCATGATCATATTCTCTTTATATATATATATATATATATATATATATATATTACTATAGTACTGAAAAATAATTAGGTTTAGGTAATTTGCTATTATTTGCCAGAGTTACAGCTAAATTTGATGTTCCTCTGGCGTTTTCCCTATTTAACACATTTTTTATTTGGTACCTGTCATAGTACAGCTTGAAATCAAACCTTTTATAGCGAACACCCACAGACCAGAACAGAGGGTCATAGAATAATTCCTTGTACTTGAAATCTGATGCCAACAAGGAACTACTAAAATCATTATTGCTTGATAACACTTTCTTCACAATAAATAGTTGCAAAAGAAAGACGGTTTTTGTGACATTTGATCTTGACAAAAGATAAGACGCCGACTCAAGATTGCATCAGATTTTTGAGCCAAGTTATAGAATGTCAAAAGTCCGCTCAAGTTTTCAGCTTCATTATTTTTTCCCTAGTTTTCCTTGGATCATAGAAAATCTGCAAAATTTCGCAAAACTTATGCCCATACATTTATTCAATCAACAACTTCAAAAAGATATTGTATAGTAATTTTAAATGTTGCTTTGTCGGTTGACACATCTCTTATATTTAAAACACAGTTATACTCTCTATGTACATTTTTGAAAACTACGCAGTTTAACATTATACTCTGAATCGGCGATGAATAAAAACTTCTCCTAGTGAGTATTTTTCATCATTCCCATTTGAATACTTGACCTAAGTGATATAAACTAAGTATAAGAATGCTATGTTGCTGTTCTAAGTACGGATAACCCCAGAACTGGTCTTCTATTTCTTCCACAGCTCTGAAAACTAGATTTCCCCTCTTGCTGAACATTTCATCGGGACTGATCGACTTGTGAATAGTAGTGTACTGTTCGTCGTCTGTACGTTGTCCATCTTCAATATCTGGGTACATTGTAATAGGGTCATTTTCTTTTGATTTTTCTACTTCAGTTTCTGATGGTTGTACCGATTTTGGCAACGGTGGTGGTGCTTTTGGATTTGGCTTATCAGGCTTTCGACCTAGGAGTGTCTCTAAAAAACGAAAAAATAACATCATTTCTTAAAATTGAAAGATGGCATTATAGTGTACAGGGTTACTGATAATATGCCGTATCCCTTTTAGGCTGTGATAGAGGACCTAAAATGCATTAAATGTAATTATATAATATGTTGGTCGAAAATCAAAAGTTTTGAAGATATTTCAATTTTTGTGGTTTTTTAACAATCACTCAAAATTCTACATTTGCGTATAAGTGAAAAAAACTACGATATCCGTAGTTAATGCTCAAGATAAGCTAATAACATAAACACTTTTTTAATACCATCATAAACGGTGTAAAAATACTACATACGTTAAAATAACTGCTAATCGTAAAAAGTTTTCGTTTTCAGGTTCCTCTAGAACAAAACTATGTCTAGCTTTGAAAAATGCTAGTATATTAAACGTACAAACTGCTAGCAAAACTTGTCAGCTTTCCAAAAAGGTATCAAACATCAGTAAGGAAGCGTTTAAATGCTAGCAAACCGCCAATCAAACCGATTTAGGTCAAATAATAATCATGTCAATGATCATTTCTATAGTTATTTCAAATGAATGTATTTGTCAACAATGTTGCTCAATACGAGTCTTTGAGATGTTATTAGAAGGTCTGCGCTCACTTTCTAGCTTCAGCTTTTGTCACATTTCTGGTAAAAGAGACCCTCAAGTGTTTTTCTTTGTTAGTACGCGTTTGAGACATTGCTCTAGTACTGTATTGTGGGCGCTGGAAACCTACAGGAGGCGGTAAGGAGCTTAAAGAAATTTGAGGAGCGATGTATTAGTTTGAGGGGGCGACGCAGTGCACAATGTTTATCACTTGCTCTTCAATTGTCAAAAGGACATCTTCACAGACGATTCTGGTAATAGATGGCACTTTGTGTTGTCTTATTTCGATTTACTAAATTTTACAGATTCTATTCGGTTCAGGTTTAGTTTATACATCTTTTGAATAGTGCGTCAAAGCTGGTAGCATGGTTAGCACTTTGTGGCCCCCTCAGTGACGAGACACCTATGGTGGTGAGCGATACATGTACTGACGTAATGGTATGTAGTAACGCGTTTGGCGACCTACTCATAGGTGACAGACTCACTTATTCGCGCACTGCATACCGAGTTTTTCTATAGACATATATCCCCTTCTTTACTTTTCGTTGCCTGTCTAGACCAATACCGTACTGATGATTGCTAAAAAAACATGAATCAACGATGTTAAAGTTGGCTGGGGTCACATAGATAGAAAGTAAACAGAGCCTATTCAGCCTGTGTTAGTTTGGTTTGATAATTGATGATTTGATGATTGACGATTGATGGTTACTGATGACGATAATAACAGTAACAATAACAATAGCAATAACAATAGCAATAACAATAGCAATAACAATAGCAATAACAATAATGTCGGGTTCATGCATGACATGAACTAACCGAACTTAAGGATCAGCTGTTTCTACACCAGTGTCCTCCACATGTTACGCCTCCAGATAGTAACTAGCTAGTGACTTCCAGTGGTGGTCAAACGTTTTGGTGACGTCACACCCATTTTTTGACATGATTCGGGTGGTTTCGGAACTCGTCTTACCCTTGGATAGCCCTTTCCATACTGTTCTATGCTCGTATTGACGTAATTATAATAATTCTGTGGTGTCTCGTGTTCCACGACGATTTACCGAGAAAGCCAGGCAGTGACTCATCTGTTGTTTTTGTTTGAGTTGTCGACGAATTTGCGGTAGAGATTTGTTTTGCTGTTCGTCTTCGGGTGTGTTTTTCTGCCTTTGACTTGTTTTTTATGCGATTAATTGAGGATGGCCATGCCTAGAGCAAAAATAACGAAAAGCCGCGGTGGTATCAACTCCTGACCTTGTTGAAGAGGTACCTGCAGAAGTCACCTGAACGCAATCGGACATCGCCAGAGGAGCGCCTAATGATGACGTTGCAGTAAGTATCCAAATCAGTTCATTTTTGCATAAATGACAAAATGTATTGAGGTTATGGTCGTTTTCTTAATTTCAAGGTCACTTCTTAAAATAAAGTTCAATATATTGAACTTTTCCTTAAGAACCAACCAATCGGATCACTAGCGTTGTTCAGCTGATCGCTACAGCTGGAATTAGAAGATGGCTACGAGCCATCGATACTGTACAAAAGTCGATAGTCGATATTTATATCGTGATGTTTGATCGATTTTATATCGCTGTATGGGCAGATGGTTCGGTGATACTTGTATGAAAAATTATTTGCGCTTGCTTACGCATGACAGTTTAGAGCTCAACATCGGGGCGGATTGATAAAAAAAATCATGTATGTTAAAAATTATAATAATTAAAGTCAGTGGTCATGTTTACTTCATAAATTAGATCAAAAAACAGCATGAAAAAAATAAACATGGGTCCTAAATTGCCCCTTACCAAGATAGAGGATTTTGAAATTATATTCTAGAGAACGAAAAAAAAAATGGAAATGATCTTAAAATTTTGTGCTTGTAGTACTGACTTCATAGCTGATAGATGCAAACACTTTCATGTCTGAGACTGTACCAGTGGTGATGTTGGCAAATTATAGCCCCTACAGAAGAAAAAAGAGAATTTAAATCTATACCATGCCCCCCATGACATGTTTTTCCAAAACCTCGCAAAACACTGTGAAGGTACTTTGTCATTAACTACAAACCAGGTGTACACCTGACGAATGCTGTGTATTCGCAGCCCACCAAATATGTAATCTCTTGTGACGTTTATTGAGGTAAACAGATTGAGTAGCACGTAACTTTTTTTGTGACATCTGTACTGTTGGTAATAACAAACCTGGTAAAGGGACAAATTAAGGACTGGCGTTTGGTATCACCAATGAAAATTTTTTTTTTAACACAGAATTTTGGCAATCAAATGTATACTGCTAGATTGGGAATTTATACATATGTACAGAGCAGTATCATCTGAAGGGGCGTGGTGAGATGACTATGTTTCTGTTTAGTGTTTGCTGACCAAATATGACAGTGATATTATGCTAATAATTTTTTTTTTGTTTCACAGTGTCAAAATCCTTCGAGGAGACAGTTGGAATGAAGATCGTCATTTATTTTATGGATACCAAATTAATTGTCAATGAGAGTTTGTTTCCTAGTTTGAAGAAACAATTACTGTTTTATGTGTTTTTTTTGTTGAGGACAATTTTGTTTGCCTTTACCCATTAAACAGTGTGCGCAAAACTATTTTTGATTCACATATCAGAGTGATTATATTTGTATTCCAGTCAGTCCTCTACCTACAGATGTATTTTTTGTTATTTTAGTATTTATGTTTTCGCAATAAATATACCTGATCAATTAACAAGAGATAGTGCTTGCATGATATTGCACTGATCAGGTTCATAATATAGAGAAAAATCCAGATGAGTAGAATACCTCTATGTATGTACAATTTATTGTAATGAAGAATTTGTTCTATTATTGCTGTGACTGTTCAGTAAATATTTTTTTAATTATACATTTTTTATTATCCTGAAATTCATTACTAGTCAAACTGATGAAAGAAATACTCCCTTTATTGAGGATGTGTTATGCATCTATGATCATCGAACTGCCTCAATATCGGTCGTCAGTCAGATTTCGTAATGTAAACAAATGAAATCGCCGACACATTCCTGACATTCCTGATATGCGTTGTCGGCATACTTTCAATATTTATAGTTCCACCAGATTTCCAGCCAAGAAAAGTGGCGCTGCCGTCGAGGTTATAGTCCAAGAAATATCTTCACATCTGCTCAGGAAAATATTCGGATTCGGACTTTTTGCATGTTATTCGAAAAAGCCTCCTAGTAACAAATCTACATGTTGTCAGGCTCCAAATTGCGTCTCTAATTGTTTGAACAACTTTTTCAAATAAATTACAAAAATTAATGTTTTCGCTTCATCAAAGGTAGCATTCGTTTTTTTGATACTCCGAAACAAAATGATGTTTGACAATGTTTGTCAAAAGTTGATTTTGTACGAGATGGGAAAGTACAAAAAATTGATTTTGCGATTCCGAAAAACGATCTGAAAAAACGAAAGTGTTAATGTCGCCATGCTTCATAAATAACCATTAACGATACCTTTTAGGAGATACAGTTATTATAAATCTTTGTATTTAATTTATATGCAAGCGGACGCTCAATGCATATTCAGCGTGCACGAGAGATACATATTTCATCTCTCTCGCGTTCACATAGACATAGCGCGCATTCAAATGCTCTGGGGGTTTTGTTATTGGTCGGTTGAAGCATGTGTGAGATTTGGCAACATCAAAATATTCATTTTTCATATTGTTTTTAGGGTAGCAAATGACGTATTTTGAGTTTTTACATTGCTTATACCTGTATATATCAAGTCTAGAGAAAAGTTCTAAAGCTCATTTTTTATTTAGAATGTCCTAAAAACAAAGCGAACAAATCAATTTTTGGAATCGGTTTAATAACAATTTTTGGAGCAATTTTGGGCCTAGTCACATGCAGATTCTTTAAGAGGTCCTTGAATCAGATTATGCAAAAATAGGAATCGGAAGAGTTTTCCGAGCAGATGTTCCAATATTATCTGGACTATTATCCGAGTTCTGTGACGTGCATTGGCGCAAGCGTGTGGGGAGGGGCCACTTGTCAACGTCAAGGCTGGTCCGCCAGTCCACGTGACACATAAGCCACAAAACACTCTTTCATCTGATACCTTGACGTTAAACATATGATTTTGTTAGTGTGTTTAATGTTGATATTGTCGCCATTGCTACATTGGCAATCCTGGCCGCGCATGCGCTTTAAATGCTCATTTTCTTAAGTTAAGTTACGTTAAATCGTGCATGAACCCACCTTAACAATAATTGCATTATCTAGTCTAGCCTACTTTACATAGCTCTGCAAATTCCTCACATATGGACCAAATTCCAAACTGCTGAAGTCCTGTAACTAGCCCTATCAATTCCTAGAAGAGACATCCGACGCAACAAGTATAGGTGAGATGCATCCT